AACAGGGGCCATCAGGACAGGTCACTGGTTGGAAGCTTGCCACAAGAGTGTGGGGGGTGAAGGGTACAGGTAAAGGGATGCATGTGATAACCTTTCATTATCTGTATTGCAAACCAGAAGGCCCAAAAGGAGGGGGGGGGAGAGAGAGAGAGAGAGAGAGAGAGAGAGAGAGAGAGAGAGAAGAGAGGCGAGAGAGAGAGAGAGAGGTGCCTGCCATAATGCATAATGGCAGGTGGTTGGATGGAGGAGAGGGAGGAAAACTAGGACAACTGGTGGTGGGGAAAGTACGCTAGTGAAGAAACAGGTGCTAGAACATTCTAGGACTGAAATCCAATCATGAACAACTTTGTAAATGTGCATCTCCCTGTGATTCAATTTTTTTTAATGGGAAAAAATTAAAGTGGGGCCAGGGCGATAGTACAGCGGGTAGGGTTTTTGCCTTGCACACCACTGACCCGGGTTCAATCCCCGGCATCCCACAGGGTCCCCTGAGCACTGCCAGGAGTGATTCCTGAGTGTAGAGCCAGGAGGAACCCCTGAGCATCACTGGGTATGACCCAAAAAGCAATGAACAAATAAATAAATAAATAAAAGAATTAAAGCTATTTGCTTAAGATCTAAGGGGGAAAAATAGGGCGCCAGAGATTCTGCCCTCTCTCGGGTCACCCTGCCCGGGAGTTAGCCCTGGTGACTCCAAGTCATCCCACTGTGGACGCGCCTGTTTCTCTGGGCCTTGCACCCCTCCCGGTCGCAGTCACGGCAGGAGCACTGTCAGCTGCAGAAACCTGCACACCAGTCTCTGGAAATGCCTGGATCACTGCACTGACTGAAAGGATGAAATATGCAAACATCTCGTAGAACTCCAGTTCCAGAGAACACGCTTTGGCAACGCCACTTGAGTTCTTGCTTTTCGCTCTTGGAGCGAAGCTGTTCCCTCCCACGTGGTCAGTTCCACACCCTACCAGGCATGTCGCCGTTCTTCTCCTTCTCCTCCTCCTCTTCCTCCTCCTCCTCCTCCTCCTCCTCGGTATTGCTATCCTTCGGCAGCTACAGGTGCTCTGCCAGAGGGTGACCCCTGGACCACGTTTCCCTTTCTGCTCACCATCACCTCTGCAGGACGCAGAGGGACTCTAGGATAGCCACGGCACCAAAACTTAATCTGTGGGTCAACAATTGGAATCCCTGCTAGCCCAAGACTTACAGAGAGGGTCAGAAGTTAGCATTCCAAATCGTTTATCCTCTAGATCATTCTTCCTGGCTGGAGGGATTCCCAACAGCCAGCCTGAACAAAGAGGCTGGCTGTCCACCCCAGCAGAGGCCCAACTCAAAGGGAAGTGGCTGGCGAGTCTGCTGCCTGGGTGCCACCACGGCCCCCTAACCTGGCCAGTGGCCTTCATTCTGCTGAGAGGACATGATGGGACACCCCCAGGGGGTAGCGAGGGAAGCCCAAGTCCTTCCCATTCCTTCCTGCCTGCTACCTGCTGGGATGGGCTCACACCCAGAGTGTGTCCTGCAGCTGGCGGAGCAGGACTGGAGACTGTGCCGGGACACAGCTCAGAGTGTGTCCAAAAAGCCCCCTTCAGCACTAAAGACCATTGTGGTCCAGCAGGCGAACCCATTCCCAGTGGACGCACACGCTGTCCCCATGCTATTTGCTGTGGACACTCTATGGTTGTTCCCCGAAAACAGGTCAACTTACTACCCAAAAGTAACCCATGAAGTGGGGCCGAAGCAATAGTACAGTGAGTAGAGCATTTGCCTTGCACCCGGTGGACCCGAGTTCGATCCCCGGCACCCCATATGGTCTCCTGAGCACCGCCAGGAGTGATTCCTGAGAGCAGAGCCAGGAGTAACCTCTGAGCATCGCCAGGAGTGATCCAAAAAGCACTGAAAGTAATAATAAGGGGGCTGGAGTGATAGCACAGCAGGTAGGGCTGACCCGGGTTCAATTCTCAGCATTCCATATGGTCCCCGAGCACCAGCAGGAATAATTCCTGAGTACATGAGCCAGAAATAACTCCTGTGCATCGCCGGGTATGACCCCAAAACCAAAAAAAATAATAGTAATAATAATAATGATAATAATAAACCATGAAACTTTCCATATGGTGAAAACAGCATCAAGCAAAGTATCAGCCGTTAATTCATAAGGGGAAGTTTTTGTTTGTTTAGTTTTTCAGACCCCGAAAATAACCTACTCAAGTCCAACCAAGCCGAAAACAGCACCAAGATATAGTACAAGCAGGAGGGCCTCGATCAATGCACAGCCTGTTGTAAGCAGTCCCCCAGGAAGGTGTTTTTGGGGGCATCCATGTCACTTAGGGTGCATGCCACCTCTAGCAAGACCTGCTGCAAAACAAACACTGAATGTGACGTCCACTATTGGGTGGTCTGGGAATTTTTTCACTGTTTGCCTTTGGTCATGGAAAAGGAAAATCCTCTTCAGATTTCTTTCCACGGGCGACAACAGGTACGGACACGGTCTTCCAGAAAAGCCAAGTGGTGAATATGAGCGGGTCCAAAGTGGGGCGGAGGTGCCCACGTGTCATTAGCCCTATCCCCCTAAGTTGGAACAACAGCCTCTGAAAGCTTAGCCCAGGTCGCCAGACTTTGCAACTCCAGAGACAAACGCATGTTACTAAGTTTCTCTAAGTTTGTGGGGGGGATGGTCTCGTCCAACGTCATTCTTTCTGCAGTGCTTGCGGTGAGCAGAGTTACCACCCAACTGCTGAAATGTGGCTCTGCCTCTGGACAAGTCCACATTTCTCCACGGGGCCCCAGGGAAGCCGCAGAAACACGGACCTGGAACTAAATGCCTCTACCTACCCCAGCCCCTTCCGATTCCACCTGATTCCACATGTAGGATTAAGAGGCAGAGGATGGTTTTTCACAAGCTCCCCCTGGGCAGGTGTGTGTGTTGCAGGGGGGAGGAAGGGGGATGGATAACATCTGACAACTGTCAGTGATTTGAAAGAAAAGAGGAAAAAAATCCTGCGTTTTCTGAAGCCTGCGTGAACTTGAGCGGGTCCTGCCAGCCCCTCCTCAAAAGCACCCTAGCCCCGGAGATGCCAGGAGCCCGAATGGGCACCCGGCCCCGGGCCTGGGCAATATGGACGAAGAGGGCAGCGGCAGGCTGGGAAGATGAAGCAGCAGCTGCATCCCGCCCCCACACGGGGCCTCCCGCCCCCGCCTTCCCAGGAAAACCTCGCTCCAGAGCACAGCAAGGGCACCGTTGCCACCTCAGCCCCGGCCAGACAGAGCGCAGAGGCGACAGCATGTGGGCCGGGGGGCAGAAAGAGGGAGCAGCCCAGCTGGCCAGCAAGACAGGCTCCGAGCCGCGGAGCAGCCCTCCGGCGGCCTTTTGGGAGCGATTTCTTCGCGCGGTTCTGCACGCAAAGTGGATGCGGGGGCTCTGCACCTCTGATGGAAGTACCGCAGAGCTGGGCCAGAGCATCCCCCAGCCCGGCCCTACCCCGGGCCGGCCCTGCCAGGCTGCTCCCCCGCCCCCCCCCCCCCCCAAGCTCCGAGACAGAAGCCGAGCCTCCCAAGCAGATTTCCCTCCCCTCCGACACCTCCGGGCTCCTCCAGGCTCGGGTCCGATTGCATTTCGGAGGCTCAGCTTTCCGGAGGCCCGAGGCATGCCAACGGAGCGCGGTCGAGGAGAGCCAAGCCGCACGCGCACTGACCCTCCTGCACGCTGCCATCCGGCTAGATTGCAAGCCAAGGAGGAAAAAAAAATAGAGTCGGAAGGCGCCTGAGGCAGGGGCTGCCTCTGGGGTGCAGCGCAGGGCAGGAGGGCTCAGCCCGCAGCCCAGAGCTGGGCCTGGGAAACTCGGGGGAGCGGGGCGGGGGGATGAGCCGACCCCACAGCCCACGGCACCGGGCACCCGAGGAACCCCCTCCTCCTGCGCGGGGCGCCGCGGCCGCCAGCCTCTGGGCAAGAGCCTGCTGATGCGAGCTCCCCGGCCGAACTGAGCGGAGCCAGCGGAGGGGGGGGGGGCCACGGGGCTCCCCAGGGGCCGGGAGGAGGCAGGGGGAGGGGGCTTCTCGGGGGAAGACCCCAGGGCCCGGGAAGAAATCCTTTCTGCCTCTTCGTTCTGAGTAACTTTGCCTTCGCCAACACCTCCCTCCGCCAACTGCTTCCAACTCCCCCTCAAGTTCTTCGGGAGAGAATGTTACGACGCGCCCCAGAGCGGGCTCCCCACCCCACCCCCACCAGGGTGCCTCCCAGATCCCCTGGGTTTTGCGGCGTAGCTCCCCCACCTGTGTGTGCAGATCCAGGCTTTTTTTTTTTTTTCATCTTTTAACATGTCTTGGGCCTGCAAGAGCTCCCTGCATCTCAACGATGGGACTCGAGATGGGCAGCTTCACGGACTCTCCCCCAACACACGTATCTGGGGGGGGGGGCGCGTAATCCAAGGAGCCCCGGGGGTGGGGGTGGGGAAGGAGGCCCGGAGTCCGCGTCCGCTCGCGGCAGCCCCAGTCCCCAGCCCCGGGCACCTTTTGACCACCTGCAGAATGCGCAAGGTCACGTGGGCGCTCTGCAGCGCCCGCCTTCATGTCGGGCACAGAAGCCCCCGTGGCACATAAACAGATCCACAGGCGGGAGGGGGAAGCCCCCAGAGCCCACGAAGTCCCCCCTCGAGAGGAAGCCGACGGCAATGACAGCCGCCCGAGTCGCGAGAAATAAGGAATACCGATTACTACTACTACTACCACCGCCCAGCCGTGCGACACGGCCGCGTCCGGGAGGGGGTCGCGGGCCGACCGCGGGCCGGCGAGATCACGAGCCCGGCACGAGCCCACGGGGCCCACCCCGCTCCGCTCCGGCTCCCCGGCCCTCCCCCCGCTCCCGCCCTCCCTCCCTCCGCCGCCCCCTCCCCCAGCCGGGCCGCCGCGGAGGCCGGGGGACGGCGGGCCAGCGGGGAGCGGGCAGCGAGGCGCGGGGGCCGGCCGGCCGGGTCCGTCCGTCCGTCCGTCCGTCCGCCGGCAGCACCTACCTCCAGCGTCCGGATCTCTTTCTGCGTGAGGTCGTTGGAGGTGGCACACTTGGTCCTGAGCCCTTCCAGGTTGGAGATGCTCAAGTCTATCATGTTTTGGACCAGTTCGCACTGCTGGAGGGCTTTCTGCAAACTCAGAGGCTGCTGCTCCTCGCTTTTCGTCATGTTTTCCTCATCCATCGCTCGCTCCTCCGCAAGCCCCTTCCCCTCCTCCTCCCAGAGCGAAAACGGGGGGCGTGGAGGGGGGCCGCCGCGGGAGTCGACCCCCGCCGCCTCTCCAGCCACTGCGACTTCTCAACAATGTCTCGTGAAGAGGAGACCCGACATCTCGCACAGGGCTGAGGGGGTGGGGTGGGGTGGGAGGGAGGCGGGGGGGGGGGGGGCAGAGCCAAAATTTATTCTTTTATTTTTTGGGGGAAATCAAGCCGGCTGCATGCGAACGCCTCGTCCCTCCTCTGGGTCTCTGGTCCCTGGAAAGGAGAGATGCTGTTTCTCAGGTGATGTGATGCTGTCTGTACACTTAGGGAAGCGAGGGAGGAGGAGGAGGAGGAGAGCGAGGAGGAGGAGGAGGAGGAGGAGGAGGAGGAGGAGGAGGAGGAGGAGGAGGAGGAGGAGGAGGAGGAGGAGGAGGGAGAGCAGCAGCAGCAGCAGGAGGAGGAGGGAGGCAGCGCTCACTCTACACACCGGCTCCGCGAAGGGCAAAAATCATAGTTTTGATTTTTTGGGGAGGAGGAGGAGCGGGGGCTGTGCTGCCGCCGTTAGGTCCGAGAGCGACCCGGCCTGCCCCCCGCCCCGCGGCGGTGACACGGCATTGTCCGCCGCTCGGGGGCTCTCAGGCGGCCGCCCGCACGGCTCCCGCGGCTGCGGCGGCGACTGCGGGCTGCTCCGGGCGCTGCTGCTGCTGCTGCTGCTGCTGCCGCTGCGGCCGCCGGCGGGCTGCGGGGGGGGCGGCCGCTGCATTCGCCCGGGCCCCGCGGCGCGCCGACATCTTGCCTGTCAATCAAAGGCGGGGCGCGGGCAGCGTGGGGGCGGCGGCGGGGAACGGGCTGCGGCGCCAGCCGGGGACCCGCCGCCGAGCCGGGTGGTGGCGCGGCGCCGTGCGCGCTGCCGCCCAGCCGGGCCCCGGCCCCGACGCGCCCGGCGCACCCGGCGGAGGCGGCGCGCGCAGCCCCGCGCACCTGGCGGGGGCCGCGGACAGCTCCGGGCGCGCGGGCGGGCGGGCGCGGGGCTCCCCGGGGCGCGGGGGGCGCGGGGGCGCGGGGCGAGCGCGGACGCTCCGGGCTGGGGGCGGGAGGGGGGCTGCTCCGGCGCCGCTCTCGCGAGACGAGGCCCGCGGCGGGCTCCGCAGGTGCGCTCCGGAGGGGAGCAGGTGTGCGCCCGGCTCGGCCCGCCCGGGAGCGCGCCCGGAGGCGAGGGCGGCGCGGCCCCGGGCTGCGTGCGCGCGTGTGCGCGCGGGGCCCGCCTCTCCGTTCCTCGGCCCTTTCTCCGAGGGGGAGGCGCGCGCCCCCGGGATGCTCTTCCGAGAGCCGCGGGAAAGCCGCCTCCCCGAGTGGGTCCGCCCTGCGGGGCGGCTTTCCGTGGGGGGCGGAGCGGGGGCTTCGCCCCGATCTCCTGGTTACCGCGTCCCGCGTGTCCTGCGTGATCTGAGCCCCGCCTACCCGGCCGACCAGCGACACCCGCAAACCGCGGCTCCGGGAGCCAGCAATAGTGTTCACGTTTGGGAGATGTTTTCTGACCTGGGAGATAAGAAATTCTCGTTTCAGTGCTGGATGGCAACATCGCCGCCGCCTTGTGATTTTTTTTCTACGTGACCGCCGCAGGGCTGAGTAGTGGCTGCCCTCCCCTGTGGCTCCCATCACTTAGTATCTTTGCTCTCGTCGTCATCTTTGCTCTCTCGAAGTTTCCAAGTTCCAGAAGAGATCCCCGAATGTTCTTGCCCCAGAATTCTTCCCCAGCGTCCCTCTCTCTCCCCACCACATTCCAGTCCTCTCCGTCTCCTCCGGTGTCTAGATCGCCGTCACTCACACGACCAGCACACTGTCCGAATGCGTTTCGGAGACTCCGCAAAAGCCCCGCTCTTGCTCCAAGCCAACAGCGTCCCCAGCTAGGGAAACAGGCCGGGGAGGTGGGGGGGAGGGGGACACGGGGGGCACAACAGATTCAGAGCCCGCGATACAGTGGGGTCCTGTAAGGAACATCATGTTATGGGTGGGAGAGATCGTTCAGGGGTTAAGGTGCTGACCTTAACTTCATGCTCCTATCCCAATAATCACATATGGTCCCCAAAGTCCCATCAGGAGTGATCCCTGACCGCAGAGTCAGGAGTAAGCCCTGCACCCCACCTGGTGTGGCCCCCTCAAACCATAAACTACTTTAGGAGTAGGGAAGGACAGGTCAGCAGTAGAGCACATGCTTCACATGTGTGAGATCCTGGCTCTAAGAAGCAGAGATTTAAGACAGCCAGTGACAGCCAAACATTTTTCTTAAAAAAAAAAAAAAAAGTCAGCCAATGGGGCTTTAGGGCAGAGACAGGGCTACACCAGCATTTACAAACCTTCTCTAGAAGGAAGGAATTGAAGTAAATTCCCTGTGCTCCCTTACATCTTTGGAAGTGTATGAATTCCAATTCCCTGGTAAAAATTCTCTTTTCCTCCTTTCTCCTCATCCTTTACACGTCCGCTTTTCAGTACCTCCACTGCCTGTGAGATATGGTTTGATTGACTACTCTTTTTTTAATGTTTCTATTTTCCATGACTTGGTTCTGACCCTTGGCAGATCCTGTCTGTCATTGGGGTTGCGGGGGGGGGGGGGGGGGGGGGGGGGGGGGGGGGGGGGGGGATTGGAGTCTCTGGATGATGTTTTCTACTTCTGGAGCAGTCTCTGGATGATTTCTTTTTGCTTTTTCTGGGGCGGGGGGCACACCAGTGATGCACAGGGATTCCTCATGGCTCATGCACTCAGGAATTACTCCTGGCGGTGCTCAAGGGACCCTATGGGATGCTGGGAATCGAACACGGGTCGGCCCAAGCTAGGCAAACACCCTCCCCGCTGTGCGTGCTATCGCTCCAGCCCGTGGATGATGTGTTCTACCTCTATACCACCCATTCTCTAGAGGACCAAATGCAAGGTGGGAGAGCTAATCTCACGCAGTCAGAGACAAGCTGCATCAGCAGAGACTCTGGTGGCCGCCGCGGTGGAGCCTCTGCCTTGCATCAGTCTCCTCCAGCAGCCCTGAACCCCGTCCTGTCTCCCAGGCATGGCAAGACTGCTGAAGACTGTTCTTTAGGGGCTTTTGTCTTAAAGGGAAAGCTGCCATCTCCAGGCTCACGTTACCCCCCTCCCTTCCCTGGAAGGTGTGTTCTGAAGTCTCCTGTCCTGTGAGACTGCCCAAAGTGTTGCTGGTTTCTCTGTGGCCCCTGTGGCCCCAGTCCTCTCCCTGGCAATATCTGGGTTCCCAGAATCCAAGTTTGCAAGTCCCTCTGGGGAGACAGTGGCTGCCGCTGTCAGCCCGCCTCAACTCCATGCCCCCCCCCCCCCGTTCTCTCCAGAACCTCTGCAGTTCTCTGCGCGCTTTTAAGCAGGTGATGGTTTTAATCTAGATTTTTGTTATAACGTTGAGTGAGTACAAGCCCCAACAATGAAAATAGTATATCTCAATAAAATTAGCTTAAAGGGCTGGAGCACATACTTGGCATGCGAGAGGCTGGAGGTCCAGCACTAGTTCCCCGAGATCCACTGAGCATCGCTGGGGGTCTTCTCCTTTAGGAAGGCCTGTGGAGTCCTGACGGATTAAGGCCTCCCCTTTGAACCTCACTCGCTGAATCTTAATTACCTCCTGTGAAGACATCGCCCATTGTTTTGGGGGGCTGGGGCTTCAATGCTGGAGCATGTCTGAGCCACACCCTGGCAATGCTTAGGGACAGCTCCCTGGGGAGTACTCAGGGATGCTCCTAAGGATGGTCAGGGATCCAGGTGGGCATTAGCGATGGAGCCCACGTGTAAACAATGCACACTAGCCTTGTGAATGACCTCTCTGTGTTTAGACGACTTTTTTTTTTTTTGGCCTTTTGGGTCACACCCGGCAATGCTCAGGAGTTATCCCTAGCTTTGCACTCAGGAATTACTCCTGGGGTGCTCGGGGGACCCTATGGGATGTCAGGGATCGAACCCGGGTTGGCTGTGTGCAAGGCAATCACCTGATCCTCTGTACTATCACTCGGGCCCCTGAGAAGACTCGGACTCGTTCACAGGAGGAGGTCGCCTTCTCACCACCTTCTGCCCTTCTGGCCTGTGAAACTTTTCTGAAGGTTTGTGGATACAAGAAGAGTTCCTTTCCTCATTCAGTTACAACATGGGCAGAAGGTCTGGGTAAAATGCTTTGAGAACGGGGTGCAAATTGGGGAATGTCAGATTAGGAGGCGTGGTGTGGGTCAGACTTGGTGTGCCCGATCCCATCCCCAAAGGAAATGAGTGACCAACTTAAGACTTTCTCTGGGCACTGCTTTTTTTTTTTTCTTTATTTTTTTTTGGCGATGGGTAGATGTTTGTTTGCGGGGAGGGGGCCATATATCCAGCTGTGCTCAGGGTTAACTTCTAGCTCTGCACTCGGGGATCACTCCTAGAGGGGCTCCGGGGACGATTTGGGGTGCCAAGGACAGAACCCAGGTTGGCCACGTGCAAGACAAGCTCAATGTCAGCCCCTTCTTTTTTCTTTTCTTATTTTCTTTCTTATTTTCTCTTCTCTTATTTTCTTTTCTTGTCTAATATTTTCCTCCTGATTCTTTTTAGAGAAAAAAAAACTCACAACGCTGGCCCCCAGGATATAACCAAGTTCCCCAGAGCTGAGGGAGAAATATTAGCATTCTGTTCTAATTCATTGATATTTCAACACATAAATTATTTTTGAAAAAAACAAGCAAAACAAAAGAAATTCTCTAACGCGTCTTTGGGTTAAAACTTTTAACTCTATGAGGTTTTCCCCACATCAGAAAATGGGCTTTTTCTGGGATTCTTCTCCTTTGGATCTTTTGATCTCTTATTTCTGCAGTGTAAGCAAGGCTACCAGCTCACTCCCTTGATGCAGGATCATCTGAGCTGTCTGCAGTGGCCAAACCCACCCAGTGATTCATGCTGGCTTTACTGCTCAGGCACTCAACAGAGCACCATACGTTTTCAGATGCAGCCTCTAGGGATGAAGAGGGTGTGTACTGGGTGCAAGTACTCAGTGTG